GCAGAGGAAGCTCCAGCTGAACCCGAGGAAGAACTTCTTCCCTCTGAGGGTGACGGAGCCCTGGCCCAGGCTGCCCAGGGAGGCTGTGGAGTCTCCTTCTCTGGAGATATTCCAGCCCCGCCTGGCCGCGGTGCTGTGCCCCCTGCTGTGGGTGACCCTGCTTGGGCAGGGGGTTGGGCTGGGGGACCCACAGAGGGCCCTGCCAGCCCCTGCCATGCTGGGATTCTATGATTCTGTGATTCTGTGATCGAATGGTTTGAAGCCTTCCGCTTACCTGCAGAGAGGATTTTTTCCCTCCCGCTCTCCTGACGCTGGAAACTTCAGCTTTGCAGCTCCCAGCAGCTGAGCAAGCAGCAGCCGCTCACCTTTTTGCCCACCGTGCCAAAAGCTTCACCCTAAGCTGAACGTGGGGAGAGAGCATCAAAAGCAGTCACCTTTGCAAGACCAAAAAACTCAACCTGTAATTAGTTACAAGGTCTGTAATTAGAAAGATGCTTCACAGTTTAAATTGGCCTGCAGCTAAGAGGTGTTTGGCACAGCTTGTCTGTAACCACTTGTTGTTGCAAAACCGCACCCTTTCCAAAATAAGGAAGCCGCTGACTTGCAGCTGGTTTTAACTTCAGCTTTGTGAAAAGGTTTTCTGTTCGTTAACGGGTGGTTTTCGCTGACCCATCGGCAACCTGCCCGCTCCCATGCCCAGGGAGAGGGCTGGATGCTTCTGGAGATATTCCAGCCCCGCCTGGAAAAGGTCCTGTGCAGCCTGCTGTAGGTGACCCTGCTTCGGCAGGAGGGTTGGACTAGATGACCCACAGAGGTCCCTTCCAACCCCTACTATTCTGTGATTCTGTGATTCAGCCCTTATTTATGTATTTGTTCGCTGGCTCTTGGTGGGGAAGCGGGTCCCAAAAGCTGTTGCTAATCCGTGGTGGCTACCGGGCTTGGGTACTGGCTTGAATGGAAGCGGTGGGATGACAGCGTTTGCTCTGTGGAGACCTGAAGAAAAGGCTGTTTGGGGTTTGTTGTTTTTGAGGTTGGGCGGTCAAGGGTTATGTGTAAGGAAGAAGCTCAGCAGGTTTGTTTGAGGCAAGGCCTGGGGCTCAAACAATCGGTTTAACTATTTTCAGGGTTTCCTACAATGTTATCAGAGCTCCACAGGTCCTGCTTCCTGCAGCGTGACTCGGGGTGATAAAGTGGGGCTGCATCTCATGCTTGGCAGGAGGAAAAAAAGAGAAGTTGAGCTTTGTCTTGTGAAAATAACCACATTACTGCCGTTGGCAGGCTAAAGCCTCTTCCCTCTGTCGCTGCTTTCGTGGGGGATAAATGTAAAATCCCCTTGGTTGTCACTCCTCTTTCCATAGTCCATACCCTTATATCCAGCAGTGAGGGCGAATGCTGACTCGAATTCCTCACTCTTCGTCACGGCCTCCTAAAAAATACATTTCTTAAATGCTGGAAATGGGCAGAAGGTTCTGAACGACTGGAGCACGGCCTGCGGACAGCGGGGAGCGGCGCAGGAGGAGCAGGGGAGCTTGTCGGTGGGACTGAACACCGACACGTGTGACAGCCCCCTCCAAAGCACCGTTAATGGGGGCTTCTGGAGCAGAACCGGGGAGGCTGCGGAGTTTGACGAAGAGGAGCGCCGCGCCGTGAGAGCCAGGGGTCGTGGATGAAGGCGATGCTGCGGATGAGTCCGTCGCGGGAGCCGTCAGGGTCACATCTCTGGCACAGGTCTTGTATCCAGGCGAGCTGCAGAACAGTCACCGAGTAAAAAATGATCAGGGATGGAGCTGGACGTTTTCCCTCTGGCAAGAGGGGTGCAGGGAGCCTGCAAGGGTGGAAAAACAGCTCTGAAATTGCCTCTGCCTTCCCTGTGCCTGCTGAGCCCGCGTTTGCCAGGGATGGACATGAAGCAGGACGGGGAACTGAATCCTAAGCTGGCACCAGCTCAGCCCTGGTGAGGCAAATCTGCTTTGTAGCTGTGCAGGTAGAGCACAGCCCCGCTCCCACCCCTGAAAGTGGGTGCTGGGGTTAGAACTTTGCGTCTACCTGGGCTCCCACTGCCCAGATCCTCTCTCTGCTATTTTTTGTTGTTCCTGTGGTTTTGGGGAAAATCTCTATAAAGCAGGACTTGTCTGTTTTAATTGTGATGGTGGGCAGGTGAGGACCGAGAAGAAAGCGAAGTAGTTCTTCCACAAATAGCTAAACCCCTCGCTCTCACCTCCAAAACTTCAATTTAAATGCAGCATTTGCATAGCAGGTGAGGACCGAGAAGAAAGCGAAGTAGTTCTTCCACAAATAGCTAAACCCCTCGCTCTCACCTCCAAAACTGCTATTTAAATGCAGCATTTGCATATATTCCTCCACCTCTTTCCCCCTTGAGTTCCCACCTGATACAAAAATGTCCCAGGCTGCCGTAGCCGTCTCTTCCCAACCCCTTCTCTGCACAAATCCTGCCGTGCCAGCCTCGCTCATGCTGCTGGGAGGAAATTCCTGATCCCTGCCAGGCTTTGAAGCCGCTGCCGGGGCCTCCGGCACCCCGGTCCTGCTGGTTCTCCACCCTCCCCGGCTGCGTGCTTGGCTGCGGGAAACGGTGCAAAAAGCAGCTTGTGAGCGGTTGGGTCACGGTGCTCCCCTGGATCCAGCCCTCCTAGGAGGGATTTGTCACTTGTGCTTCAGCACAGCTCTGAACCTCAGCACGTTATGGCCCCAGTCCTGTTCAACTTCTTCATCAGTGACCTGGATGAAGAGTTCGAGTGCCCCCTCAGCCAGTTTGCTGATGACACCAAGCTGGGAGGAGTGGTGGGTGCACCGGCAGGCTGTGCTGCCATCCAGAGAGACCTGGGCAGGCTGGAGAGTTGGGCAGAGAGGAACCTGATGAGGTTCAACAAGGGCAAGGGCAGGGTCCTGCCCCTGGGGAGGAAC